TCATGAAAAAAATTGTATATTTTTCTCCTAAATGAAACCAGTGAAAATAAAAAGTCAGACAACTTTTATATAGTCAAATATTGTTAATGTAAATCCGTAATTACAATATTTGTATTTGATCAACTGAAGCTAATTAATCGTGTATATTTTATAATAATTTCTTATTTATTTAACACAATATAGGCAGAGATAACAAAATTCTGACAGAAATGTGGAAATATACCTAATCAGGTCATAAGTATTGTCACACAGTAAAAACTTTTCTTTTAGACGTAAAAAAGTTTATTGAATTCGAATTTCGAATTGTTCATAAAAATAAAACTGTATACTTTTTAGAATTTTACTCATTTTTAAATATGGAGTGGACGCTTAAAGAAGACCGTGTTGCAGTTATTGCGTTGCATCGTTGCGGTTACGCGCTAATTCAAATTTTTGACATACTGAAAAATTTGAATATAACCAAAAGATTCGTTTATCGTACCATCAAACGATACAATGAAGACTGTAGTGTAGATCACAGGTCAAGAAGTGGTCGCCCTCGGTTAGGACTCCAGCAGTGGTCAAAGCTGTGAAGGCGCGAATTCAAAGAAATCCCAAACGTAAGCAGAAACTGTTAGCCCTTCAGATGTGATTAAGCAGAACCACGGTGATAAGGGTGTTAAATGAAGACTTAGGGCTTCGGGCATATCGAAGAAAAACAGGACATCGTTTGATTGCTCGTCTAATGGACTTGAGACTGACGAGATGCCGCGGTTTGTTGAAGCGGTACGCGGGAAAAAAATATAGGGAAATTCTTTTTTCGGATGAAAAAATTTTTACCGTAGAAGAGAGCTACAACAAACAAAATGATAAGGTGTACGCACACAGTAGTGAAGAAGCGAGCAACCGTATTCCGCGTGTCCAACAAGGTCATTTTCCATCCTCGCTCATGGTATGGTTGGGAGTTTCTTATTGGGGCTAAACAGAGGTACATTTATGTGAGAAAGGTTTAAAAACGAATGCAGTTGTGTATCAAAATACAGTCCTGACGAACCTTGTGGAACCTGTTTCTCACACCATGTTCAATAACAGGCACTGGGTATTCCAACAAGATTCGGCGCCAGCTCATAGAGCAAACAGTACACAAGTTTGGCTGGCGGCGCATGAAATCGACTTCATCCGGCACGAATACTGGCGTTCCTTCAGTCCAGATTTGAATCCGTTAGATTACAAGATATGGCAACACTTGGAGGAAAAGGCGTGCTCAAAGCCTCATCCCAATTTGGAGTCACTCAAGACATCCTTGATTAAGGCAACCGCCGATATTGACATAGACCTCGTTCGTGCTGCGATAGACGACTGGCCGCGCAGATTGAATGCCTGTATTCAAAATCACGGAGGTCATTTTGAATAAACTTTAGTGTCATAAGAATCTATGTTTTGTTAAGTTCATTTTGGTATATAAATGGTTACATAATGAATAAACTTGTTTCAATTATTTTATATTAAACATGTGACAGAATTCATGACCTGACTAGGTAGTTTATTGACATTGAAGGATCTTTAATGTCTTATCTCTTATTATTGAAAATGTCTTTTTTAATTCCTAACAGTATCATAAAAAGACATGTTTTTTTGGCATTATAGTATTTGAAATGCAATTCATATTAAATGCAATGCAATTCATAAACATAGTCTTCACAAGCTACATAGAATGAAATAGATAAAGAAAAAAATATATTGATTAGAATTAATATTTAGTATAGGCACTCTTTACAATAATTAACTTTTTCAGGTCAATCGCTGAGAACATATATGTATGCTTCGCAGGCTAAAAGCTTGCAGAGCTGCCCGTACGCAGAGACAAAAAAGAGTATGGATATTGAAGACAACAGTCTTCTATCATAACATTGAAAATGTTCTTCGAATTCCTGCCAATATCATAAATGGACATTTTATCATTAAGTTATTTAGAAAAAATATTTTGAAATGATTTACAATAACATATACAATTAAATTATACATGTGTTTTATTATCCTTCCATAAACAATTTAAAACATCTTACTTCCTCACTATTTATCAGTGTGTAATGACAGATAAAATGTTTGAGGTATCCAACCTAACCTAATCAATTAATATATTTTTAAACAAGGTTTTGACACCGTTCCTGTCTATTTATTCTACTCTTAATAGACTACTTTCGAAATTGTGATTTACTATAATAAATTTCGATGCATTATAACTTGTGTTTTTATCCTTATACAACCAGTTCAAAACATCTTTCTTACTATGTTTTTTTTTTTTTTTTTTTTAATTCTCATTTCATCTGCTGTTGTTTATTTTACAGCACCATTGATAACTGTATTAATATTTTTTCTATTTTTAACTTCTATTTTTTTTTTGTTTTTTTTTTCTTTGTTCTTTTTTTTGTTATTTTTTTTTAATTTTTTTTTATTACAATATTCTGCTTCTGCCTTACTATACAAGTACTCATTATGAGATTTAATTCATATAGCATTTATATGGCTGGTTTGGTTACATTAATAAGATTATACTAATAACGATACAATAATGCTAATTTCTTATTTGCTTAAGGCTATACTACTGGCTGCATTAATATTGTTTATATTGATTTATAAACTATTACTACAGTTCTATTACTTATTATAATTATTGCTATTTTAAAGAATTAATATTTCGAGCCCTATTATAATTGCTTCTACCAACTGTTTATTCGGCTATAGTTATCTAATACTACAACTATATACATACACATACACATATATACATATAAATTATATTAATTTTTTTTTCCATTTTCCTTAGGCTAATATATTTTTGACCCATTTTCTTGTAGTACTTTTCTCAAACACCTTTCGGCGTATTCAAGAAAATGGGTCCGACTGTCATTGTCATTGACCGCTCTACACAGATTTTCCTCTGTTATCGCAAAGCCCACTCTGTGTTCGCAACAAAGTCTTAGAGTCGCGTGTCTAGGGCAATCTATTAGAATATGTTCAATTGTCTGTGGTGTAACGTGGTCGCATTTACAGTGTGGGCTCTGGGCTAACTTAAATTTATGCAGATATGCTTTGAAGCCTCCGTGACCCGTAAAAATTTGACACATAAAGTTGTTTATTTTAATCTTCTTTACTGTTGCATATGCCTGGATCACGTTTGGGAAGAACTTCTTCGTGACCCGTCCGGTATCTGATGTGGTATAAATTTCTTGCCGGGTCTGTAAAGTGTTATCCCTGATGTAGCGCTTTGCAAAAGACAGAGGGAAGCAGTCGTAGACAGGCGTCCGTTTGCATGTTTCCGCAGCCGATTTAGCCAGTTCATCAGCTCTTTCATTTCCCGGAATGCCACAATGGGCTTTGATCCAAAATAATCCTATTTTTCCTTGTTTCTTCTCTATTTCCGAGATACGGTCCAAGATCTCTGCTGCTATAGGGTGTAAGGTGTTTGGATTGGTGAGGCATTCTAACGCTGATCGCGAGTCACTTAAGATGTTTGCCTTTTTAAGTGATTGTCTACTTAACATAATTTCTGTAGCTTTTAAGATGGCTGCAAGCTCTGCTTGGTAGACACTGCAGTGGCTCCCCAGTTTTAATTTAGCCTTATGTATTTCTGCTCCATCCTTCCAGCAAGTTATAGCAGCACCTACTTTCCCTGCGATTTTACTGCCATCTGTGTATATACATGGCCAGTTGTTTTCGATGGCGTTTATGTCAGTTTCTGATGTGATCATCCCGTATTGTCGACTTATCCTATCTGCTGGGTGTGGTAGCGTGTAAGGGCTTATGGGTTTAGCTAGTTTCCTGCCAGGTAAATGAGCAATAGGTTTCCCCCGTTTTATCGAGTAGATTTCGGCATTTTCTCGAGCTCTTAAGTCTAAGGGGAGAATTCTGGCCAGAGTTGTGCAGGATACTAAAGATGCCGTACGGTGTGCCTTGCTTATCATTATAGTGAAAATTCTAGTGATTCTGTCAAGCCTGACTTTTATTTGCTTACTTGCTGTTGAACCCCATGCTCCTGCCGCATATAACACTGTAGGTTCTACTACCGTAATGTATATCGTTCTTAGAATTTCAGGATTCAGACCCCAGTTAGCTCTTGCTGTTCTTGAGACTTTCTTGTAGAGTTGGGTGGCCTTTTCCGTTGCAGTATCTATATGTTTTATAAAATTAAGGTTTGCATCAATCGTTAGTCCAAGGATTGTTATACTTTTTGAAAACATTATTGTTGTGTTATCAAGGAACAATTTGGGTGTGTCATATTTTAGTTTTCTAGTCTCTTCTTACTATGTAGCATGTGTAGGTAATATTATAAATGTACATATTATCCCTGACTCATCTTGGCTTTAATCATATTATTTAAACGGTATTTGGGATTTATACTCACAAACAATACATGTAAAAATAGTATCCATACCATATTCATGCACAGACATGCACTATATTATTTTATCGGAACTACTAAAAAGATTTTCCATCAATTTTAAAGTACCTATAAATGTTGAATGTAACTACAACTTTGTTTTATACTATTATTTATTGAACAGTGCACTATTTTAACTTATGATACCGGTGAAAACTAATAGACAATAGCTTTTAGTTTGTTTTTAGGTTATATTAAGATACATATTTTATTTGCTAATTACTCAGTATTCCCATTAGATACTAACGTAATCTATAGATTATAATAAATAAATCGATATGCATTCCATTAAGGTTGCCTAAAATTTGTGGTGGGCCTATTCTCCACACAAAAAGAAACTGTCTCCTTTGCCACGCGAGCGACGCCGCGGGTATAAAGCTAGTATTATATAAAAATTCACATATCAGTAATTTTGTTAACACTTGCTTGTAGCCAATGCTTTTATATTAATGAATAAAGGTAGAAAAGGTATATTAATGAATAGACATTACGAGATTAAAGTAATATTTATTCGATCGATTATCATTCCGTTCGCTTATTGCCATTACAGTATTAGTGTTTACATCAACTTTTTATCGTGATGTCTATTCCAAATGTTCGCGTGAATAACTTTGTTATAGAAAAACATACGTTACCTATTGATATTATCTCGAAAGTTTATATTATCTGTGAATGGATCCTTGGAGTAAATAGACTACCTGTGATATTCAATATGAAGAGCATATTATACAATGTATTAACATTAGCCTTTTCCTTAGTTTTTAATGTCTTAACATTTTTCTATATTTTCACTAGTAATCCAAAGCGTTTATCCAATTTTGTGGTACGTTTAAGCCTGATGGAATATTTTATATGTTCCTTCTTAGGATTTTTGACGTGGAAATCTATTAAAAGTTTTTACAGTGAACTGCATAAATTTGATAAAGATATTGGAGTTAATTGGAATTTCATAACATATAATTCTAAGTGTAATTTTATGCAGACTATTGGTACTCTCGTTTACCTGTTTATTATTACTATGCTACCTTACCAGATAGATGGTTTGATAAAATTTTGGTCAGAAATATTAACAATAACGTGTACTCATGTTTTAGAAAATTATTTTTATGGTCATCTCCTTAGTCTTCTCGTAAGTAGACTCCGCTTAATAAGAATTCTACTCCTATCATCCTTTACAACTAAAGAAGAAGAAGAAATTAATTCTGTGTCTGAAAAGGATCATAACAGCTACTTCAAAAATATTATTAGTTTAAACGCCTCTAAATCGAAAGTGGAAATGAAGAAATTGATGCAATTATATAATAATATAATAGAAGCCTATGATTTACTTAATAAGGCAATAAAAGCGCAGGTACTTTTTCAAGATTTTAATTGAATGTAACAATTTTTAAATTTTATCACTATTTAAATTAACATATTATTTAATGGCTTCAGATATTAGTAATATTTTCAATAATTTTCGTGACCAGTTTAACCTTGACTTATAATGCGGCTCTAAAAATTATCAACGATGATGTAAGTAATGATATAAATATGTATGTGTGTAAAACAACAAAATATACTTTTTAATTTAAAATTTTCTTTAAAGTATACCTGGGCAAACGGAATATTTGATGTTGGGATGGCTGTAACAGATGTTGTTCCTGTGATAGTACCTTGTGTATTTGGAGAAAAAATTCACACCGAAGTCCTCCTGTTGCGTTCGGCGTTATATTCAAGGATTTATAAAAACGTTTTTGGTATGAAAACAAATATATTTCATAAATGTTATACAATATTACAGCTCATATGTTCCTATATTTTAAGATGAAATAAAATTTAATTTTATACGTATATGTAGACATAAATTTAATTTTTCAAACATTCATCGAAACAAGCGTCTTTTATGAACATAATCCTTTAAGCATGGACGCCAATCATTATTGCATAAATAATAAGTACAAAATAAAAAGACAAAGATGAACCTACCAACCCATACATAGGTTTTGAGAAATAAAAAAATTTACCCTCATTATTTGATTTGGTTAAAGCAAGTTGCACATATTTTTAGAAGGTTTAGTTGTAAACTGTTAATTGTAGTGACAAGTAAATTAGTGAATTTATTAATTTCTAGTTATTTTTGTGAGTGAAAAAGTCGGAATTGGAAATTGTAAAACATGTCCTCAAAAAGGTAAGTTTATAATACAAAACAGTTATAACCGTAAAAATACAGAAGCATAAATAAAAAGGCACCATATACATTATATATAATTTCTTTATTACAAACAAAATAATAAAATTGGAGCTTTTTGTTAATTTTATTTGGCTGCAAATTCCAGAAATCCATTCATGGACCCGTTAGCACAATCATAAGTAATCATTTATCACCTTGGCAGTTTTGAGTAAATTCATTTTTTTTTGTTATTTCAGATCAAAACCTTTATCGTTGCACGTAAATTTCAACGATTTAGAGAATGGTAATGATCCGGTCCCAGAATTTGAGCCATTAGATAATGTAAATGCCGTTGTTACATATGAATATTCAGGAAAAGAGGATAATATTGCCATACACAACTTACCTGTCTTACGTGCATCTGCAGAAGGTAATTATGGAAATCTGACTAGTTCTTAATTAGAAAGTGAATATGATACTCCTTTGGCTAGTTTATAAAAGAGATCTCGCATTAAACAGCCAATTCAACACCCACAGCCATCTGCATCTACCATTCTGGATCTCTAATTCTGTGCAAAATAAAACGTACCAATGGAGAAATCGACATAGGTCAAACGAGTTTCCTAGTTTCCAATCTCTGGAAGGTCCCAAAAACGATTTACGTTCTCTATTAAACTATTTTGAGCAATTATTCAATGACGCCGTTATCAACTTGCTTGTGGAATATACGAATCTCTACGCTTCTCAAAAAAATAAACCAGGCAATGTAACTACAAGAGAAATGAAATGCTTCACCGGAATACTACTTTATATGGATACGTATCCTTGCCAAGACGTCGTATGTATTTGGAAAACTCGTTTGATTGTGAATTTTCTCTTGTGAATGGATCACTATCTCGTGACAGATTTACATACATCATGAACCATTTGCGCTGTTGTGACAACTACTTGATTCAGACACAAAGTGATAAATTCGCTAAAATGAGGTCGTTATTCATTTTGCTAAACTCTGTTTTCCAAGAAAATGCACCTGTTGAAGAGATGCACAGTATCGATGAGAAAATGATTCCTTACTACGGCGATCACAGTTGTAAACAATTCATCAGGGGTCAGCCAATTAGATGAGGTTACAAGTATTGGATTGAGGCTATGTTATTTGGTTTGAACCTTATCAAGGCCAGTCCGCACAAATACCATCTATTTACAAGCAATGTGGACTAGGAGGTAGTGTTATATTACAGTACGCAGTTATTCTTTAAAGAATGTAGCCCAAAAACGTTTTTCATCTTTTATTTAATAATTATTTTACATCTATTCTTCTTTTACACGAACTGAAAAATAGGAACTTGAAGGCCACTGGCACTGGTCTCAAAGTGTCCATTGCCAATCAACCAGGGTTTCAAGAAAACTAACCGTGGTAACTTTGCTTACAAAGCAAGTTTGGAGGAACAAATACTTGTTTGCAAGTGGAATGACAACAGTGTTGTTACTGTTGCCTCTAATTCAAATTCTTTTGAGCCATTACAAAAAAAAAGACGTTTTCCGCAACATCTAAAAAAAATATACAGGTTGACCAACCGTACATTGTCAAAATATAGAATGAAAACATGGAAGGCGTTGATCTTTTCGATCAGACTGCAGGCCAGTACAGAACCTGCATCAGAAGTAAAAATAGTACTTTCCTTTATTTTGTCATAGTATCGATATGGCACTGCATAATTCATGGCAATTTTATCGTCTTGATGGTGCAGAACTTGATCACCTCAGTTTTCGCAGGTCTGTTTTAGAGCCTTATTAGAAACTTATAAAAGGTGTGAAAGACGTGGACCTTGACCTGTAACTAAAAGCTACCTTGAATATTCAATATACGATTAACCGGGCCACCTAGTAAACTATGTATGCAAAATTTTATATGTAAAATATATAAAAAAGACTGCAATTATATTTGTGTGAAATATAACATATACTTACATACCAAAGAATATTTTCTTAGTTACCATTCAATGTAACGTTTTCACAGACTTGTATTAATAAATAATACTTGTTTCACTATAAAGTGTTTTATTTATGTTTCCTTATACGTATTAATAAAGCTTGTAAGTAAGAAGACCGACCCATATATGGGTTATGATTTTCCAGCTTTTCCGGAGGAGAATTATTTTTTTAAATATTTTTCATGAGATATTAGGGCTAAATTAAAACATATATTAAAAAATATCTGAGATAACCTAACATCCGTACAAGTATCTTATAATTTTTATTTTTTTTTTACAGATAAATCGAATCGAAGCATCGCTACTTCTCTGTTAGCCTTAACGGAAGCCCGAACTTTAACATTCTCCATCTTTCGAATGATCGATATTAACATAACACTCCCGATTAAGTTTTTGGGGTTGCTGGCCTCCTATCTTGTAATATTACTTCAGTTTAAGAAAGTTATTGCAGGCTAGCTGAGCAGCAGTTCGAAAATAATTGCTGAAAGAGATAGGACTCAATTCTTCTTAAGCAAAATTACCGCCTCTGTTTAATTAATAAGCCACTTGTATTTAAGAATTAGATTTAGGTACTAACATAGGTTATAATTTTTATATTTTACTTACAAATTATATGGATAACTTCGTTATCTGAAATAAATTATTATTATTGGTATTACTGTCTATAATTCCAATTTAAAAAATAAAATTTTATAAAAAAACATACCTACATAAAAAGTAACAGACGCGTCGGATATAGTGTATGGCTAACAGTGTATATTATTATTCTTAATGAATAAATAAATTAATAACAAAAAACCATTATAAAAACAATTTTTTTTTTATAGGATAAGGGTGACAAACGAGCACACAGTCCACCTGATGGTAAGTGGTAACAGGTAATAGGTAACAGTTATAAGGTAATAGTAATAACTCGCCATCAGAAAGAGTTTGTGTCACAGATGTTGAGTATATTATGCATTTTTGGATCGTGTTTGTCTCACCCACCAACAAGTTGCCTTCAATAATTCAAAGGTGGTAAATTTACAGAGATATATTTTGATGTTGTTATATAAAACACCATGTAGGCCAGGCAGTTTGCAGCCCCGTTTTAAAGGGGCCTGACTTGGGCATGGCTACTTAGACGTGAGTCAAACCAAGACGCAGATAGCGCCATTGAGAATAGCGGAGCCGCCAGAAAACTATCGCAGAGACGTAATGTTGCAGAATGAAACAAGCATCAAAACGACTATCGTCAGCTTACATTATTCCAAGGTCTACCATGTAATCCAAGGAGACATCACAACCCGCATACCTCCATCGACCAAAATACAGGGACACATCTGTTAGCGAGTCTAAGTTTATCTCGGTCTTGGACGCTGTAAAGCAATCTACATGCCACTATAATAATCAATTTCACGTCCTACTCCTATCAATATAATGCTTTTACATATTTGAGTCATTTCACATATATGTTTTATTTTATAGACCTTACTTTCATGTTTTTATTTATGGGACTGCAAGTCATAACTCTGCTATCATAATGCTATTGCATGATAGAGACCTTCTATATAAATGCTTTTGTATCATAGACCTTACTATCATACGTCCCTAATACTCGTATAGGATTATACATAGTGCAACAGTACTATAGTATTCAGGCAGCCGAGCACTCCATATATATTCACGACCTTGGGTATGCGTCTCCGGCAACTTTATAAACAATTATTACATGAAAACTCTCACCAACTTGGAATTTTTCAATTACATTACAACCGTGTAGTGGCGGGTAAGAATACTAACTACCCCATATCTTCCCGTGGGTATCGTAAGAGGTGACAGAGGGAAACAATATCTTGTCTCAATGCTTTAGGTGCATAAATTGCTTCTTTCAAATTAGTTTTGTGATATAATATATCGTTTTTCCATTTATACCGTTTGAATTTATTATTTTGTTCTATCGTGGATGTTTTTAATGTCTTTAGTTTGTAGTAATAGCCAACGACTCTGAAACTTGTCTACACTTCTACACTAATAACATATACACTTCTACGTCTACATCTACATCTACACTAATATTATAAAGAGGGGCACAGCTAGTCTACACTAATATATATATATATATATATATATATATATATATATATAATATTATAAAGAGGAAATATTTCTTTGTTTGTTTGTTTGAATTGAATAGGTTTCGAAACTACTAGACCAATTTGAAAAATTCTTTCACCATTAGAATTTTATAATTAATTAATAAATTCTACATTATCCCTGATGAACATAGGCTATATAATATTTTCAAAAAAGTTAGGGATCTGTATGAAAACTTCGTTAATATAACCCAAGATGTGAAAAAAAAATACCAAAAAGAATCCTTATATCGCATACGCTGCGGAAAGTACGAGTATTAATAATAGAGCAAAGTAATGTACTTCAGTCTTACAGAGGATATCAATATCTACAAAAAAGCCTTCGATACCATATGTTTAACTATTACATTTATGTATAATATGTGTACTTTGTTAACAATAACTTATTAACAATAACTACTTTTTCATGTTAAAATATGAAATAGTAACGCCGGTACAAACTAGGCCACATTATTCGTATCAGTACCTGTACCATGCATAACCACCAATTACGTTAACCATGTAATTTTATTAACATATTGCACTTTTTAAATATTTGTTAATTCAGCAACCGTCCGTCGTGATGTCTCTCTCAAAGTTCGCATGTCGCAAGGCGTAGACGCGTGATATACGCGGATGAAACCGCGGGGCACAGCTAGTATAAAATAAGTTAATTAAACGCGATAAAATCCGTAAAAGTAGTTTTATTCAATAAAATCTGAAATACCTTTTGTTATAGTTCCGGCTTGAGCTCACTATCACTAAACTCAATCCCGTGTTGGCAGAACCACTCCTGAATTTTACTCTTTTTATTAGCTGGGAGTGGTAGGGTGCGTTGTCCATTATGATGACTGATGGTTCTTCAAGACTCTGCAGCAGCTTTGTAAACCAGTCTGTGAAGCCTTCGGCACTCATTTCTGAATGGTAGTCCTCGTCCTGAGACTTCAGAGCACAGAATATCCATCTGGCTTCGGGTATAAAACCACATTTTGCGCAACCTGCATGACAAACTGAAACAACATAATTAAATGAATATCATATTTTGCATTAAATTATTATTAAGTCGTATTTCTTACATAAAAGATGAAAGAATATTTACCAATTAGTCTGCCACCCTTTTCCGTTTTTGTGTTTAAGCCGCCTTGTCCATCCTTGTCTAGCCAATTTATTTGCGGCTGTGATTTTGGTTCACCCAAGTCTCATCTAAATAAATTCTTGGTCGAGTGTCTTAACTATGTTTTTTGACTGAGTTTTCACTGAGTTTTCTCAGGAATTGTAGCCGCGCACAAACGATGTCAGTCTGTTCCATTAATTGTTTACGACCATCTGAAGCTTGTATGTACTTGTACCCAAGTTCTATGAATATTTTACGCATAGAAGAAATAGAACACTGGAATCTGTGAATTCTTTCTTTTGGTATACTCAAAATTTTAGCAGTGGAAGAATATTCACCGTCGCGATAAAACGATGACACTATTTGTTTAATTACACTTTTGCCAAAGTCGTCTAACGCAGTTACTGCACAAGGCCGATAGATGCTTTCTCGCGGAGAGCTAACTTCTCCCTTTATACTTTTGTTTAATTTTGTCAACCGCTCTAACACTCACGCGACATATCGCCGCAGCAAGTTTATGAGAACGGCAGAAATTAACACTTTGTAACTTTTTGGGATCAACTTTTTTCAGTGAAAAATGTTAAAATATGGTTGATAACAACACGAGCTTGTGCTGGTATATGGGTGCCAACAGGCAAAATATTATTTTGAATAAATTCTGCCGTTTTGGTACAAAACAAAGGAGTAGCCATTGTGTCACTAAAGAAATTCAGAGAGCTAATGCGCATAAACAAATTTCTCTTCGATATATGTACTTAATTATCATTGCACTAATTTGCAATACCTGCAAATGGTGGGGGTAATAATGGAAAACAAATGACTCATAAAAGAACAATGTTGCACCAGCCTTGGTATACCGTACCGCCGCCGTATACCTGCGTTCGATGATTCATTTGTTGTTATCGATAATGGCATTGTGCCCGCGCTACATGCTCACCGCCCTAGCCGGGCTGAGGCCGAGCTATGATTTATGAGCCCAACTGCACGGACAAAATAATTTTACTATAGCCGATTATTGTACGATATATACTTAAGTCACGAATAAAATTTATAACATTTTATGATTTTTAATAAGTCTTAACATTAATTGAAACATAATTATAAATATAGAACAACAGAACTTTAATTAGTAACATCTATTAGAATACTTTAAATTACAGTCAAAACATTAAATCAGATATATAAAAAAAAAATACTTGACATAAAGGCATGTACATTTATAAATTTTTAGCTTGAAGTGCATTTTTTAAAGTACAATTATTAAAAACATAACAATGATTACTACTACCACGTTGTGAATTCAGGTTCGATAAATCATTTACATATAAGCCAACATCTGGAACATACAAAACTTCTATAAATTGAGTCTCGTTTTAACCTTTGGTCCGTTTAATTAAATCTTTTGATTGATGTTGTAATTCTTATACTGAAACGTTTTGATTCTCTGTTTTTACTTACAAAACTTTTTCATTCGGACATGATGTAGATATTTTAGATCTAGAATTCTCAAAAACAACATTTTTGTTTGATTTTAATTTCAAGTAATGTTTTTCTTTACTTTGAGATTTTTTTAACTTAAAAAAAAATAAAAAAGAATAAGAAAGAGAAGTCACTGATGCTCAATGACGTCAACACCTGCGGTGATTGCTTTGACACTAAATTCGTCCGACGTTGAAATTTGTTGTTTTTTTTTTCAATTAAAAAAGTGGTTTAAGTGTCTTGTATTATGAAATAATATACGATACAAGGGACTTAAGTAGCCGATTATTGAACTGGGTGAAGTTAGCGTACAAGCGAAGTAAATGCACTAAATTTACACGTTTTTATAATGTACTATACTTTACTTTGAATAAAACTATTTTACGGATTTTTTCGCTTTTAAGCGACTTATTTATCTTATTTTTATTAATTTCCGACGTTTCGGGTGCTTTACAGCACTCGTGGTCACGGGGGACTGAGGAGATTGACGTCCCGATATCAAAGTTAACCTGGGGTACCTACAGCTTTTTTAATTATTCGTTTTGGTCTACGCTGAATGAACTTACTGTGTCTTGAAGTCGAACGTCTTCGTCGAACGTCGGGAATTAATAAAAATAAGATAAATAAGTTAATAAAACGCGAAAAAATCCGTAAAAGTAGTTTTATTCAATGTGTAGTGTTCGCGTAAACATAAGAAATCATTATATACTTTACTTTGTTTTAGTAATGTAAACTAAAACAAATTAAAG